GAATTACAGATATATGCTGCCAAGTCTGGCCTTAGATGGGTTCTAGGATTCGAACTCATGTCACCAGTAAAGCACAGAAGCACTCTACCCATTGAACCTTCTTCCCAGAACTTCTCTCTTCTCCTTAGTTGAGCTTCTACTCTAATAGTTTTCCCCATTTGAATTTTTGGTTTATTACTAACTTTCGTTTTTATTTTTGAGGCAGGGTCTCTCTATGTAGCCCTGGCTGTCCTGGAACTTTCTATGTATATCAGGCTATGGCAAATGATGACCTTTCTTGCAGACCAGGAGAGTCTCCCAAGTCATCTTCAGAGTCACAGCACTGTTATGGACTGACCTATAAGGAGCCAGCTGCCCTGTGATGAAACCCAGAGGCAACATATGAGGTGAGGATCTGTGCACCTCGTTTCTATCCTGACAGCCTGAGATGAAACCTGTGGCTGCTTCCATGCTCTTTGTCCTCAGAAAGCTCCTGTCTTACAGACTCACAAAGCTGTGCTGAGCCTTGGGTGGTGGGGGCCAATGCTTTTAACCCCAGCACTTGGGAGTAAGAGATGGGTGGATGTCTGTGAGTTTGCGGCCAGCCTGGTCTACATAGCAACAAAAAAAAAAAAAAGGCTGCAATGGCTTTCCCATGATACCTAGTCAGTCAGTGGGAGTCGCCCTGCTCTAAGCATCTTCCCAAGTCCTTTCTCTGTCTCCTAGATCTGAAGACATCACTTGACGACTGCACTACACACAGACATGGGACCCAGAGCAGAGCTGCAGGTGTTTATTGAACCAGCTTAACAGACTGAGCAAGGAGGGGACAGGTTTAGGGATTCCAGCTTCAGGATGGAAAGTGAACAGGGCAGCAAGGTGATTCTCAGATCAGTCATCATTTTCCAAATAAGTTAACTTTGGAAAGGAGTGCCTTAAATTTGTCTATGGCGTCTTGGGTATAGTATTCTTTACATTCTGGGCTGAAGACAAGGGCTTCCTGGAAAACCAAACGACAGAAAGGGGCAAAGGTGGTTACAATCAAGGAGCAAAACCCCAGCAGGGCTCTCCAGTCACCCATGATGAGGCTACTCCTTCTGCATAGGGAAGAAAATTCCCTGCAGTGATTCGGGGCTCCAGCAACAGCCTCTGCCCCAGGGAGCTGCAGCTCCTCCACAGCTGTCAGGAGGACTCTGAAAAGCCACCCTAGCCAGGCAGGGATGAAGGGAGAAGGTCCCTAAGGCATGATGGGGGCTAGGTTGGAAAAAGGTCAAGATGGCTGAGTTCTAGCTTTGATAATATCTCATACCTGAGGACATCCATCAGCACATTGGCTGTATGGTGGGGTTAGAAATACGTCCCTGTGTGGATGTGCTGAAGAAATCCCTTCTTGGAGAGTGCTATGGTTTTGCAGGACCCAAAGTAAAAGTACTTTGGGAAACAGAGTGAGAGATGCAATATTCTAAACATGCATCACTTTAATCCAGCTATGCTTAAATAAGAGACTAAGGGAGACCAGGGGTGGCTGCAGTGAGTAGCCACAAGCACTCTCTGGTGGGAATGGTGGTGGCTTCTAAGCCATGGAGGGAGGTTCTGGCTGTGGCTCTGAGGAAGCCAGTGGAAGGAGGGCTCCATCTGAGACAGGAGAGAAGAGTAAAAGGAGCCTCCAGAGAAGGTGAGCCTGGCCAGTAGACAGGAGTTTCAGGCACCTTAGAGGATAGCTGAGGGTGCCCTCCCTGTGCAGATCCACACCAAGGACTCTCCTGTGTCCCTGCCCTGCTGTGGTGAGAACCCGGTGGTCACCCATCATTGGGGAGTGCTCTGCAGGACCTTGCATAGACAGACTGGATGTGGACCAGCATGCTGCATGGACATGTGCTAGGGTGGGCAAGTGTTGAGTGCTCTGGTGTCCATTCCCTGACACACGTGACTAGCTGACTGCATCATTGTACACAGCACAGAGATCAGGGTAAGGAGGACATTACCATGAATTTGGTTTTCAGGATTTTGCCTTCCACTCCTTCATCATTCAAGCAATCCATGATTTTTTCGAAACCCAGCCTTTCCCCGTCAGTAGGCTCAAACTTGTCAAGGACAGCATTCAATATTTTCTTGTTTCCAAGGGAGATTGCAGAAAAGACTTCAAAGAAAGGAAGGCATGCTTCCGCTGCAAACACAGAAGAACATCATTAACAGAGCCCTAGGCTGGCGGTAGTGGAGCATCAGGGTTTCTTTGATCTTCTACAAATGTCCTAACCGACCTTCCACACAGTCCTGCCCTCCCAGAGGCTGCTGCCTCCCAGATACAGCACACAGTTTCCATAGACACACACACACAGCAGAAGAGGCATGTATGAGTGTACCAGCCTGCACATCTGACATTCACATAAATCCCACGCATGATTCAGCTTAAGCTGGATATGGAACTAAGGGTGCCACCTCACCCCCGTCTCCCTATCCAGCCCATCCTAACTGTCACAATCCTGAAGAGAATACTTCAAAGGTCTTCTGGAGGACTCCTAGCTAGTGACCTCCCGGGGACCCCTAGATCTCCAAACAGATCCATAAGGAAGGAGATGGAGTGAACAAGGGTCAGAAAGGCCATCTGTTCCCATTCTCACTTGTCTGGAAGCCCAGCTCCCCGGTCACCAGCAAGGCCAGCAGAAGCAGCGTCCCCTTCATGGTGTAGGATGCTAAATGCTCTCTCTACTCAGAGCAGATCCTGCTACCTTATAAACTTCTGTCTTCTTGAGCCCAGTCCTGCCCACCCCCATCCCACCTCACGCCCGACCCTGCCTCCGAGGAGTTCCAAATATCTTTGGGCAAGAACCTGGCACCTATGGATCCCCTTCCCACTTGCATGGGGGAGTGAGCTTAGGAGCACCTCCCACTCTGAAGAACCAATGGCTGGAGACATCCTGTGTGCTCACTTTCTGTACAGAAGTGGCTGTGCCTTTGCCAGAAGATGGTTAGAACTGACCTTTGTAAGCAGCCACATGCTGAGCCAAATGCACTGTTGTCCTGGCTCTGTTGTCACCTGGGCTTCCTCTCCTGGCTCCAGGCATGTCCTGCTCATGCTTGGGGTGGAATCCATGGGGGTCAAGGAAGGTTTCTGTCCCTGTAGGCAGCCTACTGCCCAGAACACTGCATCTGCCTGAGTTCAAGATCTGAGCAGAAGTGTGTGTATCTGAGGGGCCATACTGGGGACACTTGACATCTTAGCTGCTGCAACCTTTGGACTAGACCTCTGAGAACATGGGGGCACCATCTGGATCTTCTAGTTATTCCCAGCCAGGGTACTCCCAGTGTGTTTGGTCATGTGTGGATTCTCAGGGGTCGGTGAGGGTTTTGTTCTACCAACTGCATCATGCTGCAAATTCGCCTTCCCCACCATGGTACCTCATCCCTGTCATCCTGCTCATGTCTGTCTCAGGTCCACCAGTAAGCAGGCCTCAAAGAGGTCTAATCAGTAGAGTCGATGCAGTTTCAGCAGCTCACAGTAGAGGGAGGAATTCAACCATGTACCGTGATTTCTCTGTTGTCCACATCCCCACAGGCCACTGTAGACTGGCCGTGTATAAACTAGGACGCTCCACTGTCCACAGACAGTGCTGTGTGTGTGGACTCTCTCAAGTTCAAATCAACCTACTACCCTCAGAATGACGTTTGCGGCACAAACGACATTGTTAGCTGGGCATACTGTTAACCATTCTTGGAGACAGGAGGCTTACTGTGTGTGGTGGCTAATCTGATGCTCATCCTGACTGTGTTACAATCACCATGGGAACAAAGCTGTCTGTGTGAGACTATTTACGCTAAGTTAAGTGATGTCTGACTTTATGTGGGCAGCGTGGACTAGTGTCGTGGATGGAGTGGAAAGGAGAAAGCAAGCTGGGCCTTCATGTCTCTCTACTTCCTGACTGTAGATGTGATCAATCACTTCGAGTTTCTGCTCCAAGCCTACCCCACCATGCCTGCCCCACCTTCATGGACTGTATCCCTCAAACTGAGAGCAGAAAGCTGCTTCTTATCCTGGTTTTGTCACTAGATCATTAACACAGTAGAGAGCATTTCTTAGCATGTGCAAAGCCCTGGGGTTAATCCACTGCCCACCCCCACAAAAATGGAGTGGCTAAGGAGATGGCTCAGTGGACAAGTGCTCATTATGCAAGCCTAAGGATGTGAGTTCAGATCCCCAGGACGCTGTAAAGAGCTGAGTGTGGTGGCTCCACCAATGCAATGGGAGCTCCAGGTTCAATAACAGACCTCGTCTAAAAAAGTAGGGTGGGAGGCAGTTGAGATAGCTCAGTGATTAAAGGTGCTTGCTGCTAAGCCTGCTGACCTGGATCAAATCCCAGAACCCACATGGTTGTAACTCCTGAAAATTGTCCTCTGACATTCACACACACACACACACACACACACACACACACACAACTTTGATACGTTGGAGAGCAACTTAAGGCACCTGTGTATCTCTGGCTACCATGTGCATACACATGTGTATGCCATGTACTTTAGTTAAGATAACTACTGCTCAGCTGGTCTTGGGGTGCAGGACTTTAATCCAGCACTCAGGATGCAGAGGCAGGCGGATCTCTCTAAATTTCAGGCCATCGTGGTCTACAAAGCAAGTTCTAGGATAGGAGTTGCTCATAGAGAAACCTGATCTAGAAAAACAAAATAAATAAAAAGTTTGCTATTGCTGTAATAAAACATCATGACCAAAAGCTATTTAAGGAGGCTACGGTTTATTTATCTTATACTGGCAGAACCATTCAACCTAGAAGTCAGGACACTTGAGCAGGGCAGGAGCCTGGAGGCAGAAACTGATGCAGAGACCATGGAGGGGAGCTGCTTACTGTTTTGTTTCCCATGGCTTGCTCAGCCTGCTCTGTTATAGAACCCAGAGCCACCTGCCTAGAGATGGCCGCACTATCAATGGCTTGAGCCATCCCCCATTAATCACTAATAGAAAAAATGCCTGGCCAGGGGGTGGTGGTGCACACCCTTAATTCCAGCCCTTGGGAGGCAGAGGCAGGCGAATCTCTGAGTTCAAGGAAAGCCTGGTCTGCAAAATAAGTTCCACGATAACTGGGGCTACACAGAGAAAATCTGTCTGAGGTGTGGGGGAGAGATAATGCCTTACAAGCTTCCCTGCAGTCCAGACTTATGGAGGCATATTTCTTTTTTTTATTTTATTTTATTTTTTTGGTGTTTCAAGACAGGGTTTCTGTGTAGCCCTGGCCATCTTGGAACTCTCTGTAGACCAGGCTGGCCTCAAAATGAAAGAAATCCTTGTCTCTGGTTCCCAAATACTGGGACTAAAGGCGTGTGCCAGCACTACCATGAGAAAGCAAGTTCTTAATTGAGGTTCCCTCCTCTCTGATGACTTTAGCTTGTGTCGAATTGACTTAAAACTCGCCAGCATACTGTGTTAGCACACACACAAATGAAGACTTGTGTGACTTCACACACACACACACACACACACACACACACACATGAACACAAATAAGAAACCTTGAGGAGCTGGGAAAACAGTAGAGACATCTTGTAAGAGAATACTAATGGTTGTAGTGAGCAGTTACAATTACTGTGGAAAGGTGTATATGTCTTATGTCCTCTGACATGTGGGGTCAAGGGTCTTAACCTCTGTGAGATCTACAGAAAGCCTGATGCCAGCTCTGACAGGCCACAGGTGTCACCCAACAGCAGACACATCTTAGCCACAGTCTGCCCTCGTCTCCATTCCTAATACTTCCAAGAGAGAGAAGGCCTCAGCTGGGCAGGGATATTCTGCAGGCCTCAGCAGCCCTCAGGACCTGCAAGGTCACAAGCACAAGGAAGACAGGACAGAGTGGACAGCTCATAAGTGGGCCTTGGCGCTAGGCACCTCTTTTCGAAAACAGCTACCGGATGCAAATCCTGTTTGGCTTGGCTAACCAGTAAGTCAAAAGGTTCTTGGTTCTCTGAGTCTTTGGAAAACTTCATCTGTCACCGTTGATGGAGACAAAGTGACAGCCATGAGCCTTTGACAACAAACTACTTAGTTCTGACTTAAGAGACACTTAGACTCTTTACTTTCAAAAAATTAATACCAGACAAGTTACATAAGCACTTATATAATTTAAACAGGGAAGGGGGTACAGGAGGCTGAGAGTTTGAAGCCAGCCTAGGATATGTGGGAAGATACTGTTTGTTTTATGGTGTTTTGGTTTGGTTTGTTTTTTTCAGACGGGGTTTATCACTCAAACAATCTTGACTGTCATGGAACTCACTCTGTAGACCATGCTGGCTTCGAATTCAACAGAAATCTGCCCATCTCCCTCCCAAGTGGTAGGATTGAAGGTGTACATCACCACCGCCTGGCTGTTGGTTTCATGTCTTAAGAAAGGTCTTGTTTATGGACTTGGGAGAAGTGAACTAGACCTTCAACCCATCTACCCAGCACCTATGGAGACCTCCTATGTGCTGTCCCTGGGAGAGAGCGGCACATGCCTTGCTCTCCTGAGCCCTTAGACATCTAAGGGACACCAAAATCAGACAATGCAAGGGGACTTAGGGAAGTGACGACAGGGTTGAGAGCCCAGTGCTCTGGTGGAGGTTTGGTGTGTTCTAAGATAAGAGGGGTCCAGGTGCACTGAGGTGTATAATCCATGTTCCGTTGCTATGACAAAACACCCAGGATAGGTATATGGGAAAGAAGTTAACTTGGTTCATGGTCTGGAGTCTTGAAAGTCAAAGACAGAGCAGCCACATCCACCCAGTGCCTTGCCCTGTCTGAGCTCCTGGTGCAGAGCAGAAGGGCAGCGTGAGGGGTGGAGGAGGTGGGGCTGGCAGAAGACAGTAGGAGAGCAGAGGCTGCACAGGCTTTACAGCCACACACCATGCACTGCTTCTCACCTGCCACACTGGGAACCAGGGTGCAAGGTGGGGTTTGGTGTGGCCTCAACATGTAGATGCCATAGCAGGATGCCCCTCTGATTTGGTGGTTTTTGATGCAGTTTGGGGAATTAAGCATCAAATCTCCCAGCCAGTTAAAGGGCAAGCACATCAGACATGAGGGCTGAGCATGTGGACGTCCGGGCTCTCCCTGGGGTCATGCTTATGGGGACGTGGTGCTGTACCTGGTACAGAGATGCCCTGGATGACAAACAGGCCAGGGTAATGATGAGTTCCGGTTTCAGGGCACACACAGTGGTCAGGGGACTGGCAGAGTCCAGACAAATGAGGGGAAGACTGGGGCTTCCCACATGGAATTCATGCTTGTGGGAGGCTGAGGCAGGTGTGCCCCAGTTAGCTGTCTGGGATCCCTCTGCTCACAAAGGTAGAAATGGGTGCAGGAAGGGGCAGCTTTCATTGCCCTCCATGTGTCCCAGCAGGAGCAGAAGCAGCTGGCAGATGGGAGCAGCAGCAGGAGGAACCCTCTAGTGAACAGGCCTCACACCAGCATGGGACCCAGAG